GTACAAATTTATGAAGAAGCATAGATTACCATAGCCTATTCCAGGGTTATACACCACCCATTACCCAATCAGTCATGAATAACGAATCATCATTATGAAGAACTGACTAACCCCTCAAATCATCCATCCACGGTAAAAAAAAGGGCAGCCCAGCTGCACTGACCCCACTGAGTCAGCCCTGAATAATGGCGCTAAAACTGCTGACGGCAATCTTTGTAAGAACTTGACCCATGGGCAACATCCAGCATTACTTCTGGTTACAGAGAACGTAGTAATACTATTTTCTCTCTCTCCCCACAATTGACTTTCCTTTTCCCCCCCCACCAGCCAAAAGGAACATTTCTGATTATGATTACTTACTTTATGCTAAGCTAAGCTAGCTAAACTAACCTAGTTTTAACTAAATCGAATCATCAGCTTACCCAAATCATTATAAGAAGTTGACTAAACCCCGAATTCTACCCCATCGTAGCATCTTCTATATCATTCGCATTACCCTCAGACAAAACTTATAAAAGGCCGCTCACAGGACCACATGAAACTCCTCGTTTCGTTTTTCATCGCTATCATTGCTATTGTCTTGACTTGCAATACATCTACATCTACTTTCTTCTACCAGGTTACTAGATACTTTACTACTACATCTACCACCACGAACACTACCACTACCACATCAACCACCACAAACCCATCCAACATGTCCGTCCCCCGCGCCATCCGCCAAGCCTTCCTCGCCATCGAACAAGCCGAAGGCGCTGGCGCGCGCGTCCGCCGCTCCATCGGCACACGCAACCTGCGCAACTTCAGCCCCTTCCTAATGCTCGACCACTTCACAATCGGCAAAGGCGCCGGATTCCCCGACCACCCACACCGGGGCCAAGAGACCATCACGTACCTCCTCTCGGGCGGCGTGGACCACGAAGACTTCGCCGGAAACCGGGGGACGATCGGGCCCGGAGACCTGCAATTCATGACCGCCGGCCGGGGAATAATGCACGCGGAGATGCCGCACGAGAACCCGGACGGGAGTCCCAACGTGGGCATGCAGCTGTGGGTGGACCTGCCCAAGGAGCTGAAGATGTGCGAGCCGCGGTACCGCGATCTGCGGGCGTCGGAGATCCCCATTGCGAAGGCGGATGATGGGCGCGTCACGGTGAAGGTCATTTCGGGCCAGTCGCATGGAGTGGATTCCGTTAGGGATCTGGCCTACACGCCTGTTTGGTTGTTGGATGTGACGGTGAAGCCGGGCGGTCGGGTCAAGCAGGTGTTGCCCGTCGGGTGGAATGCGTTTGCGTATACCTTGGCTGGGAAGACGATTTTCGGGTCTGGTGGGGAGACGAAGACCATTAAGGAATTTCATAATGTGGTGTTTGAGCAGCAGGGTGATTATGTCGAGGCGTCGGTGCCTGAGAATGCGGATGAGGAAGGAAGGTTCATTTTGGTGGCGGGCCAGCCGTTGGATCAGAAGGTCGTGCAGTATGGTCCGTTTGTGCTGAATAGTGAACAGGAGGTGTATCAGGCTATGATGGACTTTCAGACTGCGTCGAATGGGTTTGAGAAGTCCAGGAATTGGGAGAGTGAGATTGGGAAGCGCATGGCTTATTAGGTTGTTTTGTTCGTTTGTTTGACACTGCTAGATGAGATTTGTATTGTGTATTGGCGTTTGGTTTGAGATTAGTTTTCTTTGAATGTTGAGATAGATCACTGAATACTATCATGAGTGATGAGATAAGTGGTGTTTCCTTTACAGTATAAGAACTTATGGTAGACTGGGATAGTGGTAAGATGCATAACATTCGCTATATCAACAGGGAGAACCCAGAAATCGAGCAAAATCATCCAGTCAGGCCAAGGGGCGGTTCTCGGAACACACCCAACCGGTGTTCTGGATGGACGTGAGAAGTATCTGTCCCCAAGACACCTATTATATCTTACAGAACGCCTCCTCCGGCCATAACCGGAGTTCACCAACCCTACATATCCTATCCTGCCAACTGCAGGCTTCCTCAACCGCCATTCATCTATTTGGCAAAGTGCAGGTCGTAGCCCAGCCACTTGCGGGCAAGGATACCCGGCACATCCAGACCCGGGGTGCCGTAGGTCAACGGGGCGTAGAAGACGAATCCGTAGATCGTACCGGCTAGGATGACCAGGGTCGCGGCCCAGCCCGCAAGAAGGGACTTGGTGCCCATACGTTCCTTGGCCGTAACGAAGCGTCCAACCGAAGCCGACGCCTTGGCCTTGCCCGACGGGTCGTCCTCGGACCGGACAGGCTGGATGACCGAGAGCGGCTCCAGGTTGAAGATGAACTCGATCAAGGCACCAGCCACAAGAGCGGAAGCAAGATGAGCGGGGAGGTAGTGGTGCAAGAAACGCTGACGGCCCATCAGCCAGAAAGGGAAATAGTGGGCGGCCCAGCACAGGAACAAGAATCCCATGCTGTTGTACAGACGGGAACGGGAGCCTTGGCCCCAAACTGTCACGGGTTAGTAGCTGCTCGCAAGGGCCTCAAGGAATTTCACTTACTCTCTTCCACGGCATCAACACCGCGACGCAGAGACAGCTGGTCAGCACCGATGACACCGGCGAACACCGCCAACAGACTGCTGGCGATCCACCAACCGACCGGGTTACCAAGGAAGTAGATCTGCTCCCGGGTGTCGTTCTTGGTCCAGAAGCTGACACCGCGCAACAGGAAAGGCCACTGGAAGGGCTCACTCGCGTACGGGTGGCTGCTGGTCAGGGCGTTGTTGTGGAAGAACATGGCACGCTGCAGTTCAAGGTACTTGCGGAAGAAGGGCAGGTGCTTGACCTGGCGCTCTTCCTTAACCAGACGGGGACTGTCCTCTTCCAAGGACTCAATCGATTCAACGAACCACAAGTTGCTGGTCTGGAGGATATTCTTGTTGCCGTTGATTTCGGCTTGCTTGAAGGCCCAGTCGGGCAGCGGCGTGGTGTGAGTCCACATGGCCACACGGGTGGGCATATGGATCAGCTTGAAGTGGCTAGACAGAGTGCGGAATTCTTGACGAGGCTTGCCATTCTCAATCTTGATCTCGAACAGCGTGTCGTTGTGCCGGTCACCGTTGGCAATCTCATGGGAGACAGTGGTGAACTCCTGGTTGGTCGGGTAGTAGGGAGATGCAACATCGTGGGTGAGCAGGATCGTGTCTGTGCCCATATGGCGGAGCTGGACAACATCACCGTTGCGCACCTTGTGTCCGCTGGTGTCAGTCACATCCAGAGGCACCGTGGGGATGATCTGCCATTGGTTGTTGGTGTCGTTGTAAGGGTATCCGGTCACCTGCTGGCCCTGACTGGAGATACGTCCATCATCGTACCGAAGGGGATACCTCTCGAGGTGGCTGTGAAGATAGACCTTGGTATCCTTGTGCTTCATGGTAATAGTGTCGTAGTATTCGATACCGACAGACTGCGCACTCAGCACATTGTCGCTGAGAGTTTCCTGGAACTCGGGGGTCATGAAATCATCGCCAGGGCCGGAGCGGGTGAGGATGGCAAAATGGACTTGGAACCAGAACAGATAGAAAAAGAAGGGCACAATGATCAGGGCAAAAGCGCGAGCAACGAAGTGCTGACCCCACTGGAACATGGTGAGAGCACCGCCACGACGGCGGATATCCAAGAGGTTCCACAGATCAACCATGACGGCGGAACCGATGGTGACGAAAGTGAAGACACCGACGTACTTGGTGGAGATGACGCAGCTGAGCGACACACCGGTCAGGAGCAGCCACTTCCACCACTTCCGTCCAAATGGCTCATGACGCAGCTTGTAGAAGCGGACATAGCAGAGGATGCTCAGGGCCATGGTCAGGACCAACGAGGCATCCAAGAGAATCAAACGGTCCTCTCCGACATGGGCATTGTCAAACAGGACAAGACCAGCGGACAAAACACAAGCAGGCAGCGAATATCCAGATTCCCACATGATCAGGAACACGACGGGAACCGTCAGGGCACCGAGCGCGGCCGGCATAGCCCGAAGAGCCACGTAGGGGACCTGGTGTTCAATGTAGGAGTCACCAATGTTATCGAAGAGGAAGTGGCCATCATAGCCGACCAGCCAGCCCATGAAGGCGAAAAGGAGCTTGCCGAACGGAGGGTGGACATCGAAGAAGTAAGTGCGCTGGAGGTAGTACGAGGCAAACTAAAGCAGATGGCCGTTAGCAACCCGCCATCACGGAGCTTCATAGCGATCAATTGATTGCAAGCCTACCTTTCCAAAGTGCACCTCATCAAAAACGACCTCGTTGGGGTAAGAAATCTTGTAGAAACGGGTGACGAATGCAAGCACGGTCAGAATGGAAATGGCCAGCCAGTAATCCCATTCCGAACGAGGAGCAGTCGCTTTGGACAAAGGAGAAGAGAATTTATCCGCAGGCACGGGAGTACTCTCCTTCTTGCCGCCCCTCTTGCGAAGAGAGGGCGAAGGAGATGAAGACATGATTAGGTAGTGTGGTCAAGAAAAAGAAACGAACGAAAGACACCTAATGGACTTCTAGAAGCCGCATACGGGGGAACAGGTCAGCAAGCTGGACGGAGCGAGCAGGAAAGCATTCGCATGCTTGTGCCTTGGTAGGACGGCTACTTACAAGAAAAGCAAGAAAAAGCCAGTCAGGAAAAGAACATGATAGACCGGAGGGATGAATATACTTAATGGTCACAGCCGCAGCAGCAAGAGGGGGGTCGGTTTCTTGTTGCCGATGGGGGCGGATTGCGTGTCTTTCTGGCCTCCCAAACGCTTGCGGAACGGAACAAGGCGTTGGTCCGAACTTGAAACAAGCCCCCGTCCGGGGCCAATTTATGGGAAACGTCGCGCGATGAAACACGTGTACTTCAGCGGTTTGCGTAGTTTTGCCTTCAGGGTTTGATCGTCATTATCCGTTGGAAATTCAATATTTGGATTTGAGCTATTATATAATGTTATCATGATGGTGCTGATGAACCCGATCAACGTATTCCTCAAAACTACCCGGGGATATCCAATGCCAAATCAATGCACCTCAACGCTGAACATGACCGCATGCAGTATATACAATTTGAGAAAATGAAGAAAGAAAAATAACCCCAAATTCACCTATTTCAATCGTCGTCCGACACGTTCAGTAATTCGAGTTCCGTCTTGACAAGCGACTGGAAGTCACTGCGCGAGATGCCCGTAGCTTTAGCCAGTCGGAACAGACCCTTGATGCTCGAGCCAATGTGCTGTTTGACGCCCACTTCATACGCCGACTGGTTCTCCGCCTCTTGTTCGAGTCGGGCCACGGCTTCAGAGCTCGCAGACGAGATGGAAGAGGGTCGAGGGTGGTTTAAGCCAGCATGATCTCCATTGGTAGCAACGCCATTTGAAGTATTAGTCGGCTTGTCAGCTTCGTCCCCATTAAATTGTCGCTGAAGCAGTTTGGCCAGCATATCGCCATTGAGGGAGGAGGGTCCGACCTCGGGTTGGTCTTCCTCGGGATCATGGTTATCCATCGCAGGCTGTACATCACCGTAGCGAGAAAAGTAATCCGCTTCCGACTGCTGCAGGGATGAAACGGCGTTAGGAGCGGGTGTCTTGTTGGCGGGGGTTCTTCCGGGGGTAGCATCGTATTGAGCCCAGTAGTCATCGTCATCATCTTCCTCCTCTTCTTGATTCTTTGCCTGTTCAGCGGCCTCGCCTGCTTTTAAGGCGTCCTCTAGCAGGCGGTCTTTCTGGAGAGCGTTGGCCTCCCCGATGGACACAGACCAGTCTTCACCGTCGTCGACGTTGCCTTCTTGCGGCAACAGTTCTGCTACCCGCCACGCGGGGCCCCCGCCTTCCTGATCGTCGGGGCACCAGAGGTAGATAACTTTCAAGCTGAACTCGGGAAGTATCACACGCGACCGTAGGGTCTCCTCGTCCACACGCATGTACCTGACGGGGAGCTCATCGGGGAGCTCAATTTCACCCGACACCGGGTGTGGCTCGAAGGTTGAGCCGTCCACCAATGTTTGGAGGCGCTCAGCCTGTCCAGCATCCCAGCACAGCAGTCGGAGCCATGATTCGGTGGGCGAGGCAGATACTGAGCTTAGGATCTTAACCCGTTGGCGCAGAATGGGAGACAAGAGGGGTAGCAGAGCCGGAGGGGGTTGAGGCGATACGAAAGCCGTAGGAAGACAGGCGAGTAGAGGTGGCAGCAGGGTGCGGGGCTCAGGAGGGGGGATGAGAGCGACCATCTTGGAGGGGAAGAAAGGAGACTGGATTGCGCAAGTCGCCTGGAGGAACTGCTGAGGTGGCAGCTGCAAGTGATTTAAGAGGGGAGCTCTGTCGACAGCTGGGTTGGGGGGAGAAAAGCTGCGGCGGTGAAAAAGGAAGAAGATTGGATCAGTCACAGCCAGCAGGGACGGGTACACAGGATCGAGCAGTCACAAGCGCAAGTCGAGAGGGAGAGAACTGAATGAAGATCAGGAGGAGAGAGCCATCTTTCTATATGGCAGAACCAGGGGGAATGGAGAAGACAGACGATCAGTCAGTCAGAATCAGCAGCGTGGCCATCACAGGTGTTCAGGTCCCCTTCCTTTTCAACCCATGGATCTCCTCACGGAGCTGTTTGGCTCCCTTCGCCCGAAGAATCGGCGTGGGTCGCAGAGCGAAGACGCGGGGGGCCAGATGGAGCCATGGAGTTCCCCGTGAGCCATTGAGAGAGGAGCAAATAATCAACTGGAATGGAGAGGCGATCCTTGGAGGAATTTATAGATAGTGGATAATGGTAAGATAGATAGCAGAGATAAACTGGGGTGTAGAAGAACTGCTGAGTGTTTAACTCTCAATGAATTCCAATCAAAGCAGGGATCATGCGGATCCCCAACCTCAGGCAGGACTTTTACCTTTTTATACATTTCAAAGAAGCAATTTCTTCTGCTGCTTCCAGAATTTCGATCACATCAATGACCTAACTAAATATATTGCTTGTCTACTTGTTCCTATCTGGACCATGCAGAAGTTGTCCTACCGTGGAAATAGTTTCCTGCCCGTCGCTGGTTGCATTCTTGATGCAGTTCAGCTCGGGATCTGCTTATCCAACCATCGATTTCTAATCAGCTCACCCTAACTACAACTTCGTAGTCTAGACTACAGTAAGAGGACAGCTGCTACTCCACTCATAGTCAGTCGGACATATTCAAAATATACACTCCCCACTGGAGCTTGTTCTGCATCATGATTTGCTTCTCACAGTGTCATGTGTCAGTCGCTGAACAAAAGCAAAGTCTACCAAGTCATGCTTCGATTGGCTTCTTCCAGCATCCACGCAAACAATCTCACAGCTTCATCAGCTAGATATTAAACCGCCACCGATCAGCATGGCTGTTCGCCCTCGCCATCACTAGTCGCAGTCGCGATTGATTAATGCCCCGCGACTTCCAATGCAGCGTCGGGCGCTACGAGGGCCCAGCTCTCCTTCGGAGATCTCCCGGCTTATCCTAGCCAATGGATGCTCCAGATGGGGACAAATTTTGCAGGGCCGTCCAGGTTGAAGAACGACTAGCGAACGGAGTTATGCATGGGTCGCAAGCTGTCCAAATCCCGCTGAAAACTAAAAGTGGAGGAGTCATGATAGATAAGCTGGCTGCTGCCAACTCTTCCCCCGCAAGAATGTAGCCCAACGTCTTCCTCAGAATATGCCACTAAGCCTGCGACTGTCGCATCTGTTCTTCGATCGCTCGCGTGTGCATCATGGATCCCAAATATTCCGAGACGGTTGTCGTTGAGAGCCACCATGCTAAGGTCGAAAGCACGCGGGAAGCCCAAGGTTACGCAGATCTCGACCCAGAAGAATTGAAAGCTCTCGAGACTCGAATCCGATGGAAGACCGATTTGCGCCTCTGCACCATTGCTGGGGTCTTGTGCAGTCTCAATCTGCTTGATTCCGGCATCTTGTCATCGGCCTCGGTTACCAGCATGCCCGACGACCTTGATCTTGTAGGCACGCGATACTCCGTCTCAGTCTTCATTTTCACCATCGCCAGTATCGTCTTCCAGCTGCCATCGACCATCGCAGTCCGCTGGGCCGGGCCACGCATCTGGTTCGCATGCATCGCCTTCGCCTTCGGACTGATCACAATGTGCACGGCGTTTATCCACACCTGGAAGGAGATGATCGCCCTCCGCGTGCTCCTGGGTATGTCCATGTCGGGAATTTACCCGGGTCTGACCTATCTCATCAGCGCCTGGTACCCGCGGCGGGAGCAGCAGCTGCGATTCGCCCTGATGCAGTCGGGTGAAGTCATCGGTCTCGCTACAGGCTACATCGTGAATTACGGCCTAGAATTGTTGGATGGAAGAGCAGGCATGCAAGGCTGGCGCTGGATGTACCTCGTGCAGGGCCTCATTAGCTGTGTCATTGGCATAGCCACCTACTGGTGGATCATTGACTTTCCAGAGAATGCGCATCGCAGCTTTTGTTTCATGTCCGAGCTGGAGGCCCGTGTCGCTGCTCAGCGCATCAAGGCAGACCGCGATGATATCGTCCCGGACCCGTTCTCATGGCGCAAGGTTCTCGCACCCTTCGCCGACCCGAAACTGTACGGCTTCGCATGCATGTACTTCCTGTTGAACCTGGTATCAACTGCGTTGAACTATTTCCTCCCCATGATTCTCGAGGATGGCATGGGGTTCTCGAGCAACGCTTCAATTCTCCTATCCACGCCGGTAATACCATCAACTGCATATCTCCTATTTATGAGCCAGATACTAATAGCTTCCTATTACTAGCCATACTACTGGGCTGTCATCCCCGTCATCTTCACCTCCTTCGTCGGAGACAGACTCCGCATCCGCGGCCCCCTCATCGCCTTCAACGCCCTCTGCCTCATCGCCGGGTTCCTCATGTTCGGCCTCCCGTCATCCACGCAAGTCACCGTTCGATACATAGGAACGTTCCTCGCAACAGGAGCATACGTCTCCAACTGGGCAGCTCTGAACGCCTTCATGGCGAACAACGTGGTTGGCCAGTGGAACCGGGCGACCACAGCGGCGGCAGTGTCAGCCTGTAATGGCCTGGGCGGTGTTGCAGGTAGCTACATTGTACGACAGCAGGAAGCACCGCGATATGAGACGGCCGTGTGGGTGTCTATCGGGTAAGCCCATTCTCAAGAAACAAAAGTAAGTAATGACCGAATTACTAATCGATAACCAGATCCCATATCCTAATGATAGTGCTAGTGTGCGTTTTCACCTTGTTTTTCTGGCACCTCAATCGGCAGCAAAAGCACAAGGGAAAACTTATCCAGAATATGGTATGTCTTGCTTATGAGATTCTCGATAAGATTCCCTATATTAATAACAGTATTGCAGGTCGGATTTCGCTATACTTACTAATGACTGTTTCTGGTTATATACGGCAAGGCCACATTAGAACTAAGAAGATTTACATAGTTAAATATATGATGATGACTCAAGATCAGTGATGAAAATGAACGTGCAGGATTGATTGAAGAACTTACCAGTAGTAACTAGCCGTCTCATGAATCTTGAGAATCCTCGTCGAGAAGTAGAAGTATTCTGGATTGAGTGTGATTGCACTATAGAATAATAAGAATCTAAAGAGGGCACTACCTAAGGGGTGGTGTGTAGTATATATGCCATCTCAAACTGAGCCGGGCATGTAACAGGATTTCGTATATAAGAATGATGCTTACTTAAAGGCAGTTTAGGTGAGAAGAGATGTGCTTCCATTGATATTTCTTTCACCTTACTTCGATCTGTCATCAATCACCAATTCATTCTCCAGTATTATCTAAATCGAGGTTAGTTGACTTTATATATACTACTATAAGCACACTGCTTAGCTATAGAATACTCATCTCTACTTATTAATAAATAACTACGCGGTATTATTTTGTCTTGTTTCTTTTCTTTTTATTTATAAGTTTTATAACTAAGTTATTTCTTAGATAAATTTCTAATATTATTTATAAATATTTGAAATAAAAACTATTATACTGCCTAAATTCTTCAGCTAGAAAATATGGTAAACTTGATTTATAACTAATCTATTATGTATCGTCGAGTTCTCATCTAGCTAGTCAGCCACGGCAATAACAGACACAGAACCCTTTGAATAGCCACGGAATTGAGAAGTCTTTGATATAGAATTATCCATGCAGTGTGGATGAAGCGTCTAAGAAAACATCTCCTTGGACGCCTTCCGAACGACCTCCTCGAGTCAAGAAACTTTAGCATAAGTTTACATAGGTCCTCGCGTGTTGCATGAGGATTTGGAGGGGTTAGAAATATGCTCACGATGTCTCGGATGAAGCAAACCCCTTGCGCAGGAGACGAACGGCCGTTTCAGCTGCCAGCATCTTGATTACATCATCATTCATATGGCCTTCCACTGAGGCAATCTCCGAGGAATCAGCCAGTGCAGAACACCGCAGTGTCCCGGGATGTTCTTTGTCAACAGAGATCTGATAAGAGAGTTTGCGTCCTCGAAGGATGGCCTGTAGAATGTCTTTTGGATGGTCTGTAGTGATTTGATTGGAAATGAAATGCTCCAAAAGCGGCAGAATTCCGAGTTTTTCTGCCAGGGCATTGCAGGATGTTAGGGTTGCTTGAGAATCGATAAAGACAGCACCAAAGGTGCTCTGAATGATATCAGACAATACTCGCATGTCCCCAAGTGCGCTCAGCCGCACCCATGGGTAAAATCGCTGCTCCCATAGTTCATGTTTGATAGCATCCACCTCCTCAGATGACTTTTGTACAAAGTTTGATAACTCAGTGGATAAGGCATCGCTATGCAAGCGAAGAAAATCCCAGAGCCTAATCGAGCATGTCTTCACGTTTTGATGGACCTTGTGTTCATCATCAACATACATATGATTTCGCTCCCTTACTTGGTGGAATGTTATTGCCACAAAGGTCAGAAATGTGTTGTTTGTGAACGCGGACTTCAAGGACTGCATCCTTTTTGGATTCATCACTTGTGCATGTCGATGTAGATAGCTCACAATAATCCATTCTAGCACGCTGGCTCCGAGAAACGAGAGACGCCGATAAGATGTTGTTTGCACAAGACCAGTGCAAGATGGATGTGTCATACTTTCTACAGCCAGGGATTTGTCCGTGAAAGTATATCCAAGGAATTCTTCCATATCGACTATTGCTGTTGGAGTAACTGCATTTGCCGGTCTTGTTTTGGAATAAGTACCATCATGCAGAGATGATGCATTCCAAGTCTTGAGTTTGGGAAACATGACTGATGCGCATGCAGCAGCCTGGTTCAGTCCACCATCTATGAAGGCAGCCCCAACAACTGCTTTCGTCATATCTGCCAGCGTAGCCGCACCGATGGATCGCTGCCTGGCTTCATTGCTGGAGGATTTTATCCTCGACACAAGCGGTGGCGCCCATCGTTTCCCGTTGAGATGTTTGCTTATGAGGAATTTTCCAAGGTCAGATTGATATATAGCATATGCAAGACCCGCATCAGACAGATTCCTCTGCCTCAAAGAGGACAGGAGACCTTCGTGCAACAAATGATGGTGCAGGAATAATTGCATTGCGAAGAGATACTTGATGAGTGCATCACCAATGAAGGCTAATGAGCGGAAGGTGGCTCGATGCTCAATACTTGTAGGCCTGATAGCAATGGCCAACAAATCAAGTCGTTGCCAGGGCGTGACTGATTGTAACGATAGTTCCTGTCGCAAATTTTGCGCTATCATATATACCTCCACCTCGTGGGATATGCTTGGTGTAAGGAGGGCGACCTGGGCATACATGGAAGGTAGCTTATCAACAAAGAAATCTCGCACAGACATGCCTTTCACATTAGCTTCAAAGCCTATCCTGGGCTCACGGCGTTTTGATTTCCCAGCAGCTAGATTTCCTTGAGAGAGAAAGTTCCGGCGACTAGTCATGTAGTTGACTTTGGCCGTGAAGGGCGAAATGGACAAATCATCTGATAAGACGCACTCTCCTTTTACCCAGGGCTCAAGCAAAAGTGGTCGACTGGGTTTCGTATGGCTGCGAAGCAGTCCAAGCGCACTCGGCGTAGCTTCCTGATTCAGAAGCTCAGTCAGGCTGACTGATCCAGAATACCTCTCAAGGAACTCTATCAGCTTCGGTTCTTCCAGTCCTGGGACAAGAAGGAACGCATAGTCTATGTTTTTGCGAGAACAATGGTCTCGGTAAACCGACTGGAAGATCAGGTTTGTCACTTGCTGGCAAAGTGGAACATTTGTAGTGATTGGATGCCCCGGTGTGAGAATGGCCGTATAGGTTGTGCAATAATCAATGAAAAGAGGAATGTGAACTGTTGTGTCAAGCTGATATGGAAAAATGATATGTAGATGGATTGCGTCCTCTTCTGGTCTTATGATTCGTAGTTTGTGAAGATACAGCTGACTGTCAAGTTTCCATAGAAGAGCAATATCCTGCCAAGCATCCAGCTGGTTCTGAATACTGTAGTGGGACCGTAATATGGTATTCCCATCCAAATAGTCTGAGACCTGAGTCGGAACTAAGTAATCGTTAACAAGGCCAGCCTGGTAAAGCGCTTTATATGCTTCTAATGCTGCGTCCTCCCTCGCATACTTGCGTCTGGACCAATTTCTTGAGCTAGAAAATGACTGAAGGGAAGGGTCGAGGTTGCTCGGCAATCTGACTACCGCCCTGAATCGGCCGTAGTTATTGCGCTCGTAAGAAAACAGGGGCTTGTTGCTGACATACGGCTGGGCAGGTAGCTTTGAACAAAGATGATACAAATAGCCGACCGCTTCCCGCATTATCAGCTGCGCTCTATCAGATTTAGCATCTCTCAGAATGGAGAAACAGTGCAGCCGCACTTACCCGGTCCTGTCAACGTGAAGGGAAAGCGAAATCCTCTCGTACTCGTCGAAGTCCAGCTCGTTAGCTGGTATTTGCCTTCGCTCGGCATTCTGCAATTTTGAAACTAGCTCTATTTCCTCCATCTCGAGTTGTTTCAAGTACCTTGGGCCGCTTTCATCTTCCATAATGATAATAAACTGGGAGTTCTCCCTTCGTGCACGCCCCCGTCGCTGAATGAAGGATTTCAAGGATAGCTGACTGTTGAAGTTTAGCACTGTATTGCATGCCGGTATATCAATGCCTTCTTCCAGAGCATCGGTCGTTATGATCTGGTTTATAGAGCCTTGCCGGAACTTTTCTAGCGTTTCAGTCTGATTTCGGATGTCATGGAGATTTCCGAGCTCTGTTTTGCTGTATTGTGTCGTTGACATACCAATGAATGTACCACAAGTAAATAGGTGGCTCGTAAGTGGATGATTCTCTATCAGCCATTTCAATGCAAGTACAGTCGCTCGCTGCGTGACGAACACCAGACCGCAGAATCCTTCTCTGTATGCCTTTGAAAGCTCATCCAATAGGCACAGGCACATTGGTGACATATCTTCTCGTTGCATTTCTGGGATGCAGTCCTGCAATTTGCCCAATTTAGTAAGAATTTCCATGGCGAAGTCTTTCCCACAATTGGAGATATTTGTCTTCTCAGCGCCCATTCGCATGCTTTCTTTGAAATGCATGATCGATTTCCGCACGTACTCTGTCGCGGCCCAAATCCCAAGCTCCTGGTTAATGCTTTCCGAAGTCTGTATGAAGCGTCTGATATGTTTGAGTTGCTTGCTCTTCATCTTCGATGAACTTGGTACTTCATTTTCAGAGGACAAAATACCACATAACTTTTCCAGTATTGGTGCCTTGACAGTGCAGGTCGGAATCGTATAAGAAGGTAGACGCGGCAATATAAGTGGCCGGTTTGTGAATTGCAGGAGTTGTGCGTAGTATTGGCGAGGGGTCTTGCATATACTGCCCAGGTTGCTTTCCACGGTCCTTGATAATTATAACTCAGAGTTCGGATATGACAAGCATGATAATGGCAGTCAATAACTTACTCCAAAGATGACAAGTCGGATAAAATAGGAGAAGCAGTCAGACCAAGTATCTTCGGTAGATCCTGTGCACCACTTTGGTGCTTCTTATGGTAATGGTCCTGCATTATCTTGTTCGCAACGTGATCCCTTTTACAGTGGTGGGCTAATATGGTGTCAGTCATTGTTTGATACATGAAATCTCTCTCTGGGTCTTACCTTCATCGAATATGAGTAAAGAAATTTGGCTCAGTTTAACAAAACCATGGGATAGTGCGTCATATAGAACCTGATATGTTGAAACTGCAATCTTTATTCCCAATAAGGCATTATCCCATATTGTCTTCTCTTTCCAGTATTCCACCTGATCTCTACTGGTGAACCCTCTGCACCACATAGAAGGAACACGGTTTCGTATTGTATGTGTATGCTGCTCAGATAAAGCAACTGTGGGACAAAGTAGCCATACGAACTAACAACTTTTAGTTACAGCACCTCTAGAGCAGGTGACAGTACGTACCTTATCTGAGTCTCCTTTGTCTATGTCCGCTAGGATCCGTAATATGGCTCTGTTGCTCCTATTAGCCATACAGTCAAAGCCGTAGTAAGACTCATCATACACTTGCGTTTTCCCAGTACCTGTTGGCATCTTTCTTTATGTTAATATTTAATATTCTCTCTGGGGGCAGTGATCATACCACAACGATAACATTACGTTTCAAACTCTCGTTCAACATCTCCAATTGATACTCTCTGATTCTAAGTTCCATATTGGTTGTCGGTCCCGGCGTACTGTCTGCATGGTAATCGGTAGATGAGGCCATTTTGGGACTCGAGAGAAAATAACTGTGTGTTCCTTGTGACTCAACTAAGAGAGATACCCTAAAAGTATGTAGTAGCTTGCGCCTATCTTCAAGGATAAGAAGTACCAAATATATCGATAGCTGCCGACGCTTATATATAAGGCTGGTTGGCCCCTCAGAAAAGGACACGCATCACTGCCCAACAGATTATCATTATGAGGGCGTGAACCCAATCATGCCCAAACACAATGCTAACTGTGCTTTGATCGCATAGTCCAGCAGAAGGTCGTATAGTACCTAATCTAGCCCTTCCGTGGGGTTTCAGAGAAGATACACGAGATACGCCCACCTACAACGCTAATATTGCTAGTCTGTTTTCCAGTACTGCGTATGCATAGCTTCGGTTATGCAGACTACGGGGCCCGGTTTTCAAGCATCAAGTCTGTGCGAGCCTAGTGATTAGATAGAAAGTTCAGAGGCAGCTGCCCCGAATGCTGACGTCCGTGAGTGGAACGTGGAAAGGAACCCCAAACAGATTTCCCAAAAATGTTTGTATATCATCCCGGGGCAAATGGGCTTACGATGAGGAGGCAGGTTGGGGGCTTCAACCTTGGCAATAAGTCGACTTATGGCTGCGCGTGACCACACTCTATAAAGTACTGTAGACGTATTTAACTCTATGGTACTCGATGAATATGTGATTCGTTACATGCCTTACTTCTTGTCTATCCAGTGATTGCTATGTAACCCATGACACCGTACAAGGTTCCGAGGGTCAGGTCTAAATCAGAAATAGTTCGTCTATAATCTATAGATATCCTTTCGATGTTTACATGGAGAGATTAAATTGTATGCGAGAGACTTTCCTAGGTACTTCTCATAGCGACATGTATCCGACGATCTCACTGTCAACATGGTTGGAGCCCAAGCCTTTGGCAAACACCTTTAGCTGCGATGTGTTTCGCAAGCTTCTTGTTTTTACCCTCACCCGACGCTTGTATACCCAGGTAAGAAATGGTGATTCGAAACTTGGGCGGGTAACTGCTGAGGCAACTTTCTTTGACATTGGGCGTCACTCCGTGATTCGACCCATCCTCCCATAAACGAGACGTATACTTCCAAATATCAGGCTCATCATTCGCGTTAGATGAACACTGGGTAGGTGCGGGACTGATATAACGCCCTGCCATATCCTCCAACACTGACTGTTGATATGCAGTTGTCGATATTCCAATGTCGGCTAAGCAAGTTGGGATTTGCAGATGGAGTTTTGTCAGCAGAGGAACAAAGTCTTCCCTGCTATTGGACAATCTGACGAATCCGAGAATCTTGTATATGTAATCTTCACAACTCTCATCGTCAAATTTGTTCGTGCGGGGTAAATCTAGATTCAGGCTCTTTATGGCTACTAGCGCTGCTTCGAAATCATAAGCTTTCGAATCAATAAATCGGTCTGCCTCGACCTAGAACGTCCTCAGCTATCCATAATTTGGACTAACAATGCGAAGAGCAGAGTCTGCAAACATACCAATGAACCATCTGTTCTGCCATTAGACGAGGTGTGAACTATCATTAAAGCCATATAAACATTGAACAGCCGCTTTCCAATTTCATAATCTGAAATACAAATTAGTAGCTATCACTTCACAGACTTTGGGCTATATCTACCAGTGTTGGTGTAGCAGTCCGCTTGCACAGGCCCGGGAGGCATCCTGAAAATAATGAAGCAGAAATATGAATCTGCTATGACGGATGTTGCTTTGGGATAGGCAGGTTATGTTTCCTTTTTGAAATAGCTTTTGCTCTCAGAGCTACACGATAGCTCTCTTGGTATTTATATACGTATACACTGCTCAAATCCTGCTCTATACTTGGGCAAACACACACGCGGCAATTTCTTGTTGATGACCGCATGTATGTGCACTGCCCTAGCAACATCATAGGTTAGGTATACTCTTCGTTCTCTTCGGCTGTCATGGACACGTCACAGCTTCGGCCATGGCCCGAAGAGCCTGGTGAATTGCAAGGGAGCTTAACAGTCATGATTGGGCTGCATACATTGCTTTAAAACTTCTAGCCTTCGGTGGGCAGAATCTATCTCAAGATTACCCGGCATATGAGACGAAATACGAAGCATCAAGGCGTACAGCAGTGGTTGAGCAGAGGTAGCTCGGTTATATGGCACAATGTCCGTGCCAGAGTAATCTTCCACGGCATACATATCCTCGATACAGCTCGCTAGTGGTTAGCCAACCTGCGGCAAGGCTATCTTGGCCGCAGTTCTAGCCAATAGAAAGGGATATCAAGACAGTATATAGCTTCCGCTGGCATTGCAACGCTCAGGCCTCCTGGTATTTCAGATGGGTAGAATTGGGCAGAAAAGTAGTGAGCGTTTCTCCCTTCGACGGGTCTGTTAGGAAACGAGCGAACCTGCCGGTTAGGCTTAACCGCCATGCCCCGGATTCTTCTCCCGGCTGGGTGCTGATGCCAACGCCATGCCGAGTGCTTACGGTCCATGTGGTAGCCAAGGTGTCGATTCATGCGTGTATGGAATGTCGTGTTTCTAGTATTTTGCGGTCGCAGTGCTCAGCCACGTCAAATCGTTCGCTCCGTTGATGACCTGGATCCATCGTACATCAGTGCTGACTTTCTTCTGGTTGATTTTGTGGCGGCTGAATTCACCGATCTCAGCCTTCTGAGCGTAGTGGTGGGTGGTGGTAGATGCCAGCAATCTCATCTGCCTCGAGCATCCTCTAGCAGAATGCCACCTGGAGTGATGCGATTGCCAGCCGGTCTGACTGGATGTGGTAAGTACGAACAAATGATGTTCTTGATGAACCAGTGAGTGGCCTGTGGGTAACCAGCGTTTACTCGCAGCCAAGCAGTTAGACTCATGCGGGTATTATCGATCCGCCACCCTTCTTGACTAACGCTTTGACTCATACGCCAGCCTCGCGCTTCCCCTGTCCGTCAGCAGAGCATTTTATGCATTGATATAGACTAACGCAAGACAAGAGCACGGACCTTCTCGGTGCTGGTGCTGGAGCGACTGAGGGTGGGCGAAATGAGCTATTAAGCTCTTTCGTCCGACGGGCTGTGTTCAAAACCCAATTGATAAGCTGTGAATGATGCGAGTAAGTCTCAGAAAGTATAAGAACTTAACTACACTTCTTGATACGTGCACCTCCGGCCTTGTAACTTTGATTCTCATTGGTAGTCTCGGCGCGCAGTTTTATGTCCCAATGCAGAATCCTATCACTTATCCTGATCCGTGCACTGGCAACCTATTCGACATGACTCATGCTAGGCCTGGTACAGGATTTCTCCATGCTGATCGTCCTGCGATAATGAAAGGGTTAGATACAGTGAGGTGACTCATGTATTCTTGCTGTATGTTACCCCAGTAAGGTTCAACCTCAGATCAGGTCGGAAAGCAAGGGTCCGCATAGTGTTACTCGGACGGGAAGGATCGACGTGGACAGGAATTTCTTTTCTACCCTGTGAAGTGTCTGATTTTATAGCTTCATCCACTGCGCAGTAAAAAAGTACTCCAGAGGAGTTCAAACTATTACCTCCGCTAGTAATAGCGAGACGCCAGTCCTAGCAGCAAAACGACCTTTTACGCTCCCGGGACAGGCTAACAGGGAAGTAATGCGGGCCGACGACATGTTGACAAGGAAATGCTGGAATATTGTAGTGAAATATCATAGTCGCTCAACCCCGCTTTCAATTTCCATGTACAGGTGGTAACCCCTAAAGGAATGCTTTCGAATGCTTATGATTGTCATGGAGCTTCCCTTGGCATTGCGGCATCAAGTAAGGTGCAAGGCTGCCCAAGAAACAACATAATAGCAGACAACCAGACCAAGCTAAACATACTAAACACTGGACTATGCAAGTAGAGGTTGGTAACTATGAGCTGTCATGAGGAATTACCACTCGGACGTGCCAGGTGATCACTGTGCTCGTTGGCTTGCCTCTGTAGGAACAATCCAATGCAAGGCTGAACTTATTCGGCAGAGCCTCAAACACTTCCTATGAGATATATTTATATCTATCTTCTTTCACTCCCTTTCCGGCGTATTTTATCTATCTCCTCTTCCTTTGAGCAGCACAGAGCCTTTTTATTTCTATTTTTATGATCTTTTTCCCTTTCAGAAAGAAAAGGAAGGCCGCCTATTCAATTCAGTTGGGAAGATGAGCCACGATCCTCCAGGCGACCCTTTAATGTCGCATTCGCCACGCCGGCTCCGGCGTCTATACGAGCCTCTTTCCCTACTTCAGGCGCTGGGAAATGTTCGAGGTTGGCGTATCAGAGCCCCTGACATACCGCAGGATAATTCTGGCTTCAACGCCATAAAGAGTCATAGGTCATTTGTGGATGCATTTGCCTACGCCTGCGCATACAAGAAGCAACCTGCCTATGTGACCGCGGTCGCGTTGGAAAAGAGACCAGAGGAGATAGTGGTTTGGCTAGCGGCGAACAAGAATGTGGAAGAAACCGTTGTCAGCTTTGCTCAAGATGTCTTGATAATTGTACAATGGCTGGCAAGGAACCCATCGGCTCAACTGGGCACCGAAGATGGCCAACAAGCCCTGAAGCTTTTGACGAACAGAGTCTTGTGCTTTAATGCACCCAAAATCTACACCTATTATGAGCAAGTTGTGAGAGCTGCGCCTCCAGTAATAGCAAAGCTTTCTAATGGGCAACATGAAGGTATGTCAGGCTTGTGGTGTATATCGAGTATACGCATCTGACATGATGGTAATGCCTAGGTAACCCTAATGTTGCCAATCTCAAACACTGGCTGTCACAGCACCTGCAAAGGGACGGTGTACAACTCCAAGAAGTGGATATGGCGAAATTGGCCGTCATAAGTCACAACTCACGAGATACCTTCGAGGTCCTCCGGAACCTAGCCATGGAATCACATGACCCTCACACATTTGAGCGGCTCTTTAAGTTGCTCGGCAAACTCGGGAAGCATGTGATTATGAGCAAACGAATAGTCGAAGGCGCAATATTTCTACGTTCAGATTTTGCAAGAGGGATGAGACTCGAGAGAGTTCCTGCGTCTCGAGAGCGTCCCCTTCCCTTTTCGTCTCGCAAGTACAATATCGATGGCATTAGCAACCGGATGTTCTCTAGTAATTCAGCAGAGAAGCAGAGGTTTCTTGCCCGTCTGCGGACAATTTGGGATACAAACGAATGGGACAAGAACTTGGCTAAGGAGCACCTCGCGGGTAAAGGCATTGTGCATGCTGAGCTCTTGATACTCGATCATTTTGAAAAGACCGGTGGGGATTTTCTGGATAATTCGGACAAGTATATCGGATGCAGCAAGCCTGCCTGTTATCTTTGCTATCACTATATCTGCAATCATCCAGGCCGTTATATTCGCCCTTCATCTCATCAGAAACTTTATATGAGGTGGCGCCTTCCCGACATCAGCGTAAGAGAACCGAACGCCGCCGCCCGTTTCAAAGACCAAGAGCAGATTCTCAATAATCTGATAGATCTAGTACGACGGGAGTTGAAGAATGACATCGAAGCTGGCGTGGGCAAGATGAAGGAATGCCCTGACTCAACGGCAGGAGGGACTTCGACTATGTTTGAACTTGAGACAGGGCTAGAGGCCGACATGGGTTCTTTATCTTTCCAAGAGCTCCGACACCAAATTGACCCCGACCTCCAATACGTCGTTATTCCCGACCCAGACAGCAGTTCTAGTAGTGCCTCTAGCATTCACTCGCGTTCTAGCGCGGATACTGCTGTGTCTGAAGGGGATGGATTTGAATATGATAGCGACGGGGGAGTAGTTGTCTAGAGATAATCACCTCAATTACGTCTGGGCACTTGGATTCACTTACGTTGGGATTTTATATAGCGCTTGTGTGGCTCAGTAGCGGGTGGAGTCCTACTTGCGCTAGATAACGTTCATGCAGAATTCGGAGTGGAGTGAAGAGGATAAATTAGGGTAACAAGGTAAGTGAAGGTGCATGGGTAGATAACAACGGCGAAGAAAGACTAAATACAAGAGGAGGAATCCGCCGATGGTCACCCAATCCGAACTACTAATTTCTTGGTGTGACTTGAAGCGCGGCTAATTTCTAGATAGATGCTGATTCTGTGAGCTGATTTTGAGTACTGCTTCATCATAATGTAACTAGAGTGGGCTAGGATAATTGATTGATTTTCCATATGTATACTTTGACTGCACTAAGACTGAATTAATATAGTAAATATATCTCGGCACTCAGAAAAGTAAGATCATAGTAGACTACTATCGATTAGCTTTAGAGATATATTGCGTTATGAAGGTTTCTAAGACCTGAGTATTAACCAGATAGAAGGTATAGAAATTGCTACTAACCTGACCTGGCCTGGCTGTTAGCCACCCTACTGCTTACTCATGCGCCAACCACTTAGTTAGTTATCTACTACTTATTCATCTCTCTTAGGATTTTATCACCTGAGGCACCCGTACTCAATCTACAATTCGAAATTGTAAAGCTAGTAAAGACTTAACTACCGAGTACCAGCCCGTAGATTTTATATATATTAGTTTGGCATTTACCCGGTGCCAGTAACTGTAAAGTATTAATTATATTTATATTATTTTTGAAGACTGAAGAACTAAAAACAATAAAAAATAACCAGAAGTTATTAATATAGTTAAGATATATGATAATCTTTCATAAAGATCTCATTAATACAGCTACTAGAATAAGTGAAGGGTTTCTATAGTGTTTACTTCTATATAACTATAAATCAGTTCAGATTTCATCATTACGCACATAACACCCAAAACAATGATACATCTATACACCTATGACTCTACGGCCCCTCCCTCTCCACAACCGCATACCCATGCACCGCCTCTTCCAACAAGATATTCTCCGAATAGTACTCAGACTCACGCGCCACAATCGTCTGACTCCCCAGCGACGGGACATGCGATCCACGCGACTGACTATTATCTCCGAGTCGAGAAAACCCCTCCGGAGTCTTGCTATTAGCCTGGTTAATTGGGTAGTGGTGATGATGATAGCGCTGCGGAGTCTGCGAGGAATCCTTGCTGCGTAGCTGTTGAGGGAGGATGTGCATGATCAATGGCCAAATGGGCGGGAGACAGGCGGCGATGATGATGATTCCGCCTTCTAGGATGGTCCAGACGCCGAGGCTGGTTGATGTCCCTGTATTTCAATACTAGGTGATTAGTAGGGTTATTCATGGATTTGGAACAGGGGAGGGACGTACAGGTTGGGTCGGTCGTGGCGTTTTCTTGAAAGAAGATTGTCATTCGTAAGATACTGGCTACGGTTCCTCTGGTGGGGGGTTAATTCATTCCGGTGATGTTGGGGTGCTGAAGTATATACTACTTACAAACTGCCGAGAAGGAATACTCCTGTTAAAGCTAACTTCTGCCCCTTTCGCGTGTGTAGTTTCCAGACATATGGCAATGGCATGATCAGGATGAGGACGTCTGTTAAGATGTTTGGCGGTGACACGTAGCGGTAGAATGCCAACTGATTGAAGCATGATCCTCCTTCGATGGTTTTGTCCCAGACGTATGCTATCGGCCAGCACTGGAAGATGGCTGCAAATAGGATGCCGAGGCCGTGTCCGAGCACGATAGCACCGACTATGTAGGCCATTACTTTGAATGATCGAGTGGTGAAGATCCGGAGGTAGAAGACCAGGATGGAAATCTTCGCTGGTGTGACTGTGAACGGGAAGTCGAGGATCTCGTTGGCGTACAGGCCCTAAATTATGTTAGGCGTGCATCTCGAGGTAAACAACCATATTAATGGGTTATACCTTCTCCAAGATCACCAGCTTTTCAGGCGTCTCTTCGACATATTCCATGTGATGTCCGACTCCTGCGAGTTTGACCACTATGCGAAAGGAAATCCAGCGGTCAGTGCTTGGTCTCGCTATCATCGAAAAATTCCACTTACAGATAATGTACAAAACCGATTGGCCTACGCTGGCGATCTGCAAACAATGTAAGCATGAAGCAGTGGTGATGAGAAAGACAGGCAAGTACCAATGCCAGAAGAATCAGATAATCATCGAGAGCAAAGGCCAGCTGTTGCAGGCGTCGCCGTGTATAAAAGCGTGCTATAACCACCACGATCTGAACAACGGCAATTGCAACGGACACGCCTATCAGCGCATCGCCGTTGTACGGGACATCGGAATCGGATCGTGCATTCATCGCCACCTGAAACTCAACTTTTCATCTGCCATTAGAGGTCCCAGGCTGCTACTGCAACGGTTTCACGCATCTGCAGCCTACAACTATTGTCGAAGCAAGAGGACCTTGAAAGGGTGAGGGAATTTCATCTTTTAATTGCGCACAGGGCCAAGACCACAGCTGTTAGCTTCAGCCATGTTCCTTGGAATGAGAGCATCCGGCTTCACTGGGACCGTGTTGAAACTCTTGGACGATGGATCCAGTCAATTACATAATGTAATGTTGAGTGTGCCGTGCTGGTGCCACGGGCAAAAGAGTATCCAAGTCAATGGTTCTCGCATCATTCGCGAAACTCAATCTCCGCCGATCCCCACATGGTTTTCGGATGGCTTGCACAGACTCTGGAACCGACCCTCGATCCGATACTATGCCCACATGTTATGCCGTCGAGTGTCCAGTTCCTGGCAGATTTGTGTCCACTAAGGCACGCTAGCATCGTGCTCGGGCTCGATCTCCCATCTCATTCGTTATCGGGTATCCTCCATCACGCGAGTCAGGGGCCCCACGCTTGCGATCCTTCAGCTTTTGTTCCGATTATCCCTTCATCATACTAAAGCCCTCTATCCGCGACATTTGAGGTTGGCTCCTGTACGTTCACCCGTCTTTGCAGGTTATTGCACTTAGTACCAAGGAAGAGCAAAACAACACGAGAAGCCGGACTAGAAGATGTCTCTTGATCATCAGATATCAGAGCTAACGAGCGCCGTCCAATCCAGCAGAGATGGAATTGACGATACCACCCGGTTCAAGGCCATCAAAGCCGCACAGGGGTTACTGGCAGCCTTGGGCTCTCCAGCCGAGACAGTCATTCAGGATGTCGTTATGGTAAGTTTTCAGAAGTATGCTGTCCATTTCCGTTGCTGCCCATTAACTTGCATGAAAAGAATTCGGTCCTTCTGATGGCACTTCGTATGGGTGTCCAACTCGATGTTTTCAAGACCATCAGAGACAATCAAAGCCATGCAACCACCACACAGCAGATCGCCAGCAAATCCGGCGCAAGTGTAGTTCTCGTGGGTAGATCTCCCTTATCTTATCAATCTCCATATTAGCCCTCATCGAATTTGAACTCGTGGGTCAGCGATGGATACACGCTTCTTGTCTATGCGGTCCCACTCTGGAAGGGTCGATCGTAATAAGTTTGCAGATGCAGCAGCATGGCATGCGCCAAACACATATGCTGACAGAATTCTGAATAATGCATACTGACATGGTACCATTTAGACCAAATCATGAGGCTGCTCGCAGCTTCTGGGTACGTTCTGGAAGAAGATGTCCAGTTATACAAACCATCACCCCTCACAATGGTAATGGCTGAGCCTACCTTCGAAGCCACAACTCGAGCATGGTAAGTCCCCTCAGACATACCAGCATACCAGCACACCCTCATCTGATACCACTCTAGCTTCGATATTGGCAACTTCTGTACCACGCGAGCCCCGGAGTTCTTCCGCAATAACAACAACCAATTTCCCAAATCCGCCAAAGACACACCCTTCCAGCTCGCAATGAACACAGAGCTCAGTTACTTCGAATGGCTTGGCCACAACCCCTCCCTGGCAAAGGACTTCCAACAATGGATGACCCTGAAACAGCAAACAACCCCGAACTGGGCCGACTGGTTCGACATCAAAGGCTCTATCACCGACGGTTTCAACAACTCAGCGACCAACGTCCTCCTCGTCGACATCGGAGGAGGCGAGGGCCACTACCTGCATGCCTTGAACGAGAAAATCCCCTGCCTTCCTGGCCGTCTCGTCCTCCAAGACCTGCCACACGTTGTATCAAGCATAAAGACTCCCCCGAAAGGAACTGACCTGATGCCTCACGATTTCTTCACTCCGCAGCCAGTCAAAGGTACGATGCCTCCATGACTCGCAAACCAAGACCGCATTCAAACACACCGACGCTAATTATTTCGCGCAGGTGCTCGAGCATATTATCTGCATTGGATCCTTCATGACTGGGCCGATGAGCAAGCCCGTCAAATCCTCACCAATATCGTCGAAGCTATGGAACCGGGGTATTCCCGCCTCATTATCAATGAGTTTATCATCCCAGATAGACATTGTGACTTTCCCACTGCGTGCATGAGTATCATGATGATGGTCCAGGTTGGCGCGTTCGAGCGGTCTGAGAAGCAATGGCGTGAGCTGCTTAATTCTGTTGGTCTGGAGAAGATCATTTTCCATCAGCCGCCTGGTGGTGGGGAGGGGGTTATTGAGGCTGTCAAAAGCCATAAATGATTGTAGTGCTGTACATACATGGATTGGTCGAAATCTGACGACGGGAATGATAGAACTTGAAAGTCGCCATCTGTGACTAGTGACTACACAACTATATAGGCCGAAGAGAACTTGTCTTACTAGGCGTTTACGGCATCTGGTTCCATTAAAAGGACCATTGCGGTTGAGCAGGTAGTATGTACAGATCTTGGCTGGCTCTAAATCTTCGAACTCATTTCGTTTCTCTAGCTTGGAACAAATAAAGATACATCAACGAGGTGCCTCGGGGTATATGATAAACTAAACAGCGGCGCCGCTCAAAATGTGTTACAGATCGGGAAGAAGACTAAAGCACCTCAGATGGATGGATCGATGGATTGTTGGCTGGCGAGGACAGGCTTGAGCGAAGGAGACAATAAACCGACCTTGTCGCTTCGTTCGTTGGGAAGTCACAAGACGGTCATTCGTTCCTTTCTATTTCGCAAAAGCAGCTGAATGCGCATCAGTTGGTCCGGTCCTGCTGTTCCAACTTTCCAACGAGTTTCTTCATGCCCGCCCATTCATCGGCAGGCACGTCTTCTGGAGTACCGCTGAGACCCTTTCCGACTTCAAAGACAGTAACCACACCGTCGAGTCCACCCGTTGCAATGCGCCTGCCCTCGCGCTCTTCCCAGGCTACCTTGTTGAGACTTCTCGTCAGTATGCCTCCGCGGCCCTTGGATGGTGTCGTCTTCACGACGGGGACTTCAGTGTCCGTGTAAAGATCCCAGACTTCGAGGTTTCCAGCACCATCGACGAGAGAGAAGACACCGGGGCGGTGAGGCGACCATCGTGCATCATATACTACATCCTCACGATTAATGTCAAGAATAGGCTCCACGACTTGAGTTGTGGCTATGGCAGAGGTTGCAGGGGCAGTCGTAGCCGGCGGACGGATGCGCCAGAGCCTCACGCTCCAATCCAGACTAGAGCTAAGCATGAGATCGCCCAGATCAACTGGACCGCGAGCGGGATGGAATGCAGTGGACATGATCGGGGCTTTATGACCGCGATACACGAGGCGATGGTCGGTACCAGCTTTGGCACCGGCTCTATCGTAACGATGGCATGGGTAAATCCCTCCTTCCTCAGTACCGACGATGAAGAACGTGGGGTCAGACTGCGGGAATGACATCGTCGTGGGTGCAAGATCTTCTGTTTTCGAGGGCGGGGGAGTCGATAGTTCGAGGTATTCCTGAGGCTGGGAGAGCATGTCGACCGTCCAACCACAGACTACGCCATCTGTTGATGCGGTCAAAATGTTATGGGCATTCTGTGTTCCAATGATGGAAATACTGTAGACCGGGTGAGTATGCCCAGAGCCAGTCAACGGCGTCTTTTGAACGGGAGCGCCACCGCCTGCGCGCGACGACCGAGTATCCCAAAGTAGTACTTGCCCCGAGTACGAACCGCCAACTATGAGATTAGGGTGGAATGGGGAGAATTTGGCGGCCAAGATGTCGGAGGTAGAATGAAAGACATACTCCGGTCGGGAGTGAAGGTGTTGGTTCCAGATCTGGACGAGACCATCGGGTTCATGAGGGGCAGAAGGGTTCTTGGTGTATGCAGCCAGAACAAGTTCGGGGAACTGTAGAGATGTCAGATCTCAATGCGAAGCTCACAATGATGATGAAAGCGACCAACCTTCGGCGAAAAGCTAAGATCACTGATCATACGCTTCTTGCTCCATCGCTCGTCCCAGAACTGGCAGACTTCCCTGATTCCGCGCCGTTTCCGTCCATGCTCATCGTCGTCTTCTAGTTCACCATCCACGCCTCCAAGCTCGTAGTCTGCTAGCACGTCATATTCCTCGTCCAGTGCCCGTTCAATGACTTTAGCAGATCGTTCAACGAAATCCAGAAAGTCCTCAGAGGACGTGACAGCCTTTAACTCGTCATCATCTAATGTACGGAGCGGGTAACGCATATTTAAGGCCTCGGCGCTGGCCTCATTGTCAGCATGCTGTTGAGTGGCCTGCAGCTCCTCCTCGATCTCTTTGCGGAGCTTCCTCCGGATCTCTTCATCGCGTTCGCTATCTCTCTTGCTGCCATTGTTCTCTTCATCATCTGACTCTGTGGCGCCTGATGGTTTCAAGTCGTCCGTCTGGACCCCTTTACTATATGTGACAACTTCGGGTTTGGGCTCAGGGGCGTGCTGTGGTTCAGGAGCCGCGACAAACGGCTCCGTTCCGACTGTTTGAACAGCAATTGACTGTGAAAGTGGTCGCGTAGTCGGACTGAATGCTTCCGTGTTGTCGCCACTGAGTTGGCTAGCGCTCAGGACTGAATTAGGCCTGCTTCCTTTTCGTGACAGGCCATCGGCCCCGTGGCTGATGGAAGCCGACCCCGGGCGGTCAACCAAACGTGAGATAAGATCATCGAGCTCAGCTCGACTATCTGCGCGGCTGGGGGCAGGAGAGACAACCTAGAAAGGCAAGTAAAAATAAGCGCTGGCCCTTCTCAAGCGACATGAGCAACTATAAGTGAGGGGAAAGGGTCTCTGTACCTCAGAAGCATCGCCGGTGTTAGCTCGGGTTTGCGAGAATTCCTTCTGCCGCAGCTCTCTCTGCCGCTTCAGTTCGGCGAGTTTGGCTCTCTTGGCAAGGATCTCGGCCTTGCGCTGTTGCATAGCCGAGGACATGATGGGGAGGAGGGGGAGTAACGGAAGGTGAAACCCTCCAGACCACGAACTGGCTGGTCTTTCAACTTGGGGACGAAGTAAATAAAGTACGGGGAGGGTTCGTTCGCGTTCCCTTGAACTTCCCCGTGTCTGTCCCGCGCCCAGGGAAACCCGGGTTGGTGATGACATAAGCGCCAAAGGGCCCGACGGTCCGGAAAAACTCGCGACAGGAACTTCGTCTTTACCAGCTCTCAAAGTATCCTGTCCGATTGCCAGCCATTGACAGTCGATCCCTTCATAACGGTCGCTCGGAATCCGGCCTTGCTATCTTTCGTCTCACTGATCTGTTCCATTCGCCGCTCCGGAGGCCAGGGTTCTCATAAGATGGCTACCACACAGGGTGTCAACGTGAGTGTCATCAGTATCCGCCCTGGACCCATTGTCATGATACAGGACCCTCGAGGTTAACCCGCTCCCTTCGCCCATCCAGGTTCTGCGCTATTCGGCCCTCGTTGCCGGTCTCGTCTACGGTTTCTACCACCAGTCTTCGATCACCGCCACTGCTAAGCACGCCGAGGCCGAACGCGAATATGCCCGCCAGGAGCGCCTGATCGAGCAGGCCAAGGCTGAGTGGAGGAAGAAGACGGCGCCCAAGGACACGCAAAACAGCGGAGGTACGTCTTGGTGCTAGCTTTTCCATACTCTGAATCCCCTTTACCAGTGCCGAATTGCAGTCCCAATTGGAACCCCCAGCGGCATGTACCGGACCCCCCAATGCTAACTAGGGAACTTGCACAGTCATTACGGATCCCGAGGACAGCCGGTTTGACCTTGAGGCTTTCCTGAAGATGAAGGCTGGCGAGAACTAGAATGGAATCGAAGTATACGGCACGCAGATGAAGTTGCAGTTATCTCTCTAAGAGTCGTACCTCTCTGAAGGTATAGGCGAGAGATCTCGGGTCGGCCCCGATTATGTATTATTGTTTGGTCTAATTTCCCAGAGTCGTGTCATTGCGAGCGAAAGGAATGATTTTTCTTTTTCCCCTATAGACATCATCCCCGCATTTTGTACATACCCTGGGCTGTTGTGCGTCTGTATCACTACAGTTGGACCAGAAGAGCAAGAGATTCTGTATGCTTCGGTTTCATTGCTGATCTTCTTTTTCGTACTGAGTGCGCTTGCGCAATATTATGCCCATTGTTATGGGGCTGTTCTATGATATGCTCCGTGACGCCGTCAAGTCGTTACGTGCGGACCCGGGATGTTGCGCTCTAGATATGTAGTCACCCAATCTCTCCGTCATGTTCCGCTATTACTGTAGGATAATCGAGTTGCAAGGTAGCCCCTGTTTTTGCAGACTCCCAGATACTCTTAACTCCGGCGGTTTCCGATCAAGGCCATGACCTGACTCAGTTCATTATACAACCGAACATCCTTCTGAGGGACATCGTCGACGATCGGTTTCGGGTGCAACAGCCCTTTTTCCTGATCCCATGTCCATCCATACGCTATGAACTTCTGCATGATGGCCGGGTCACCCTGTTGTGCGGCGGCAGCATCCAGACCGAGATAGGTTGCAGCGGCTGCTGGCCTTATCGCCTCATAGGCCCTGCTGACCTCCTTTAACGTCTTTTCCTGGAAATGAGCTAGGTACGGTCAGTATATGAATGATGTAGCAAAGACAAGGCATATTCGAGAGGACGGTTTGCCTTACATTCATAACTCTGGACTATGGGTCGGAGTGCTTCTGGCCACGGCAGTTCTCGCAGAATCTTATAGACTTGTTCATATTTCCGTTGCCAGACAGCTCGGAGAAGAGTCAAGCAGTTCTGTAGCGACGAGTCATTTTGTAATAATTCTTGTGGCACGCGTTGTGTCGATAGACGGGCTTCGGGACTGAAGAACTGCGGATTAGCGATTTGCCAACTGTGGGGGAGTAGCTCGGGAATAGCTTACATTTTGTCTACGAGAAGGTTGGAGAAGAAGAAAGTAGAATAGTAAAGGCTGAGGAGCTCCGTGTGGTTGCCCTTTTTCATGGAGAGCAGACAAGCTTCGCTTTCATAGTCTGATAGTGTTTCGTAGAGCTCCGTCGGCGATTTAGCAGAGGCGACGACCGCGGTCAGTTGCTCTTGTGTGAGCGGGGGAAGATCCATGGTGAGATGTGAGTTGAGCGATCGCGAGAGTTTAAGTTCTTATTTTTAAAGTGAATATTCTTGAAACAGGGGCGTAACGATTTTGATGTTCGACTGATGGTCGACTGGACTTGCGCTGATACTAAGCACTGACGGTGCGGGGACGTTTCGGAGGAAATCCCCCAAACCCGCAACGGAAAAGGGAACTAGTAACAAAGTATTGTGGTTTGACTTGGGTGACTTACGTACCTGGCGCCAAGCCCCAGAAGAGACCACCTTGCGAAGCTCTCGACACTCTTCAATTCATTCCCCCGTTCACATCACCACCCAACCCTTCCCTCTCATCAGCTCCCGGGACAGGTCGAGGGCTGTTTGCTCATCTTCTTTCCCATTGGATTTTTATTCTTTTCTCCCCTGGCCATTATGGCCGAATCACCCCTCGATGTCCTCTTGAAGGGTAACTCCGGCAGAACAACACGCGGCCTTCTGCGGATTATCATTCTAGCTACCATTGCCGCTGCTGCTGTGTCCAGTCGTCTGTTCAGTGTTATCCGTACGTCTCTTGACTTATATATTTGATCAATTGAGTTATCGTCACTAACATTAACCCTCTAGGATTCGAGAGTATTATTCACGAGTGTATGTTTTGATACCAATCCTCCATCTATACCTTGACGCTACCGCGGATCCGGCATTCGACACCGTGTGCAGGCAGCTCCATTCAGAGGCAACCGATGCTAATGTAGCTCATTTCTACAGTCGACCCCTGGTTCAACTTCCGCGCAACAAAATATCTGGTCTCCCATGGCTTTGAGAGCTTCTGGGACTGGTTCGACGACCGTACGTTCTTCCTGCCAAGCATGCCTTACCTCCATATACTGATTGACGATGCTGCTCAGGAACATGGCACCCCCTGGGACGTGTCACTGGTGGCACGCTATACCCCGGTCTGATGGTGACCAGCGGTGTTATTTACCACGTCTTGCGTTTCCTCACCATCCCTGTCGATATCCGTAACATCTGTGTCTTGCTTGCCCCGGCCTTCTCCGGTCTGACTGCGCTGGCAATGTACTTCCTGACTCGCGAGATGGCGACATCCCCCTCCGCTGGTCTTCTTGCGGCTGCTTTCATGGGTATCGTCCCTGGATACATCTCTCGTTCCGTCGCGGGCAGCTACGATAACGAGGCCATTGCTATTTTCCTGCTGGTGTTCACCTTCTTCCTGTGGATCAAGGCTGTCAAGAACGGCTCCATCATGTGGGGTTCTCTGGCAGCTTTGTTCTACGGCTACATGGTGTCTGCCTGGGGTGGTTATGTCTTCATCACCAATCTGATCCCTCTGCACGTTTTTGTTCTTCTGTGCATGGGCAGATACAGCTCCCGCATCTATATCAGTTACACCACTTGGTATGCTCTGGGAACTCTGGCCAGTATGCAGATTCCCTTCGTCGGATTCTTGCCGATTCGCAACAGCGACCACATGTCTGCACTTGGTGTGTACTTTCGTTCACCGTTAGAGAAGATAGTTTGTACTGACCTTGCCAGGTGTCTTCGGCCTCATCCAGCTCGTGGCCTTTGCTGACTTCGTCCGTGGTTTCATCCCGGGCAAGCACTTCCAGAGACTTCTGACTACCATGATCATCGTTGTCTTCGGAATCGCTTTCGTCGGACTTGTCGTCCTCACCGTGTCCGGAGTGATTGCCCCATGGAGCGGTCGTTTCTACTCTCTGTGGGATACCGGCTATGCCAAGATCCACATCCCTATCATTGCGTCCGTCTCCGAGCACCAGCCCACCGCTTGGCCCGCCTTCTTCTTTGATCTGAACTTCTTGATCTGGCTCTTCCCTGCTGGTGTCTACATGTGCTTCCGCGATCTCAAGGATGAGCACGTCTTTGTCATCATCTACTCGGTGCTTGCCAGTTACTTCGCCGGTGTCATGGTTCGTCTGATGTTGACCCTGACCCCTATTGTTTGTGTTGCGGCTGCTCTGGCCCTCTCCACCATTCTCGACACGTATGTGTTCGCGAAGAACGGCCCCAACCCCCGCGCCAAGGCGAACGAGGACAACTCGGACGGTCTTCGTTCCACCAGGAAGCCCGATGTCGGTGTCACGTCCTACCTGTCCAAGGCTGTCATGACCTCCTCCGTTGTCATCTATCTGCTTCTCTTCGTTGCGCACTGCACCTGGGTCACCTCGAACGCCTACTCCTCCCCTTCTGTAGTTCTCGCGAGCCGCTTGCCCGACGGAAGCCAGCACATTATCGATGACTACCGTGAGGCATACTACTGGCTCCGCCAGAACACCGAGCACAACGCCAAGATCATGTCCTGGTGGGATTACGGCTACCAGATTGGTGGTATGGCGGACCGTCCTACCCTGGTTGACAACAACACGTGGAACAACACCCACATTGCCACTGTTGGTAAGGCGATGAGCTCCCGCGAGGAGGTCAGTTACCCCATCCTCCGTCAGCACGATGTTGATTACGTGCTGGTGGTGTTTGGTGGATTGCTGGGCTACTCCGGTGACGACATCAACAAGTTCCTGTGGATGGTCCGTATCGCCGAGGGTATCTGGCCCGACGAGGTCAAGGAGCGTGACTTCTTCACTGCCCGCGGTGAGTACCGGGTGGATGACGGAGCCACCCCCACCATGCGTAACAGCTTGATGTAAGTTATCCCCTATTTGCCCTGGCATAGATATGACACTAACAATGACTGCAGGTACAAAATGTCCTACTACAACTTCAACTCGTTGTTCGGTCCCGGCCAGGCCGTTGACCGTGTGCGTGGATCTCGACTTCCCGCGGAAGGCCCTCAGCTGAACACGCTCGAGGAGGCATTCACCAGTGAGAACTGGATCATCCGTATCTACAAGGTCAAGGATCTCGACAACCTCGGCCGTGACCACAACAACGCGGTGGCCTTTGACAAGGGCCACAAGCGCAAGCGCGCCACCAAGCGCAAGGGCCCTCGTGTCCTGCGGACCGAGTAAAAGGCCTGGTGTCGTTGATAGATACCAGGTTTGGTGTAAAATCGATCCCTTCTTCATTTCTTAGCATGTCATTTTCAATTCCATGTTCTTGTACGTGTCAACACCATATAGGCGGAATTATAGAAGTTGTGCATTTGGTTAGAAGCGTAGACTGTACTTCCACCCTTTAAGCAACCAGCTGAACCTTGTCAGAATAGTAATGACACAATGAACACGGATATCCTTCGAATAATATACAGATAAAATAATAAGAAGACGCGAGCAGAGATTTCCACTTGATCAGCAACACCATCTACACACATCCATCTCTCCCCTTCCCTAGCATCAACATCCTCCCCTCACACATCCAACCCACCACCACACACACGCACACACCCCCAAACCCAGCACAAACCCAACACAGAAAGAACAATATACAGTATATTCATAGTTATTCTCAAGCCTAACTCCAAGCCCAATACACCATCAACAATCAAATCAAATCAATCCATGCACACACAGCTCGATCAGCATACGCTGAAACCGGAAATATGATAAAACAACGACAACAGTATTCCGCAAATGCAACAGTCAAATCAATTATTGCTTCTTAGCCGGCTCATCGGGAATCTTCACATCCGAGAACTCATCCTGTCCGACGGCGCGGATGGTGTAGGCGTCTATACGGCAGAGATGACATTAGCTTTCATTATTCTTTCAATGGGTACGGTGACTGTGAAAGAGATAGAATTGCGCATGCGCACAACGATAATGTCAAGCACAAGCACAAGACCGGGTAGAATGGATGATTATGGACGTACAAACACTAATGGTAAAAGACACCAAGGCCAGACCGGTAAAGGCATTCTTGAACAGGTACGGACGACGGGCACGGAGAAGGGCCGCTCCAGCGCGGTAGTCTTTGCCGTAGTAGGTTGAGTTGAAGCTGTAGGTTTCATTAAAGGTATGAAGTCAGTGTCTGTATCTGTGTCATGTAATGGATGGGATGGGGTGATCGGGGTAGTAGGTCGTGGTGGGGGGTGGACGAGTAGTTTGTTCTGCCTGGGATGGGGTGTAATAGGCAATAGAAGGGGTATTAGGACGTACATTCCGGCAGGCATTGTGGAAAGGTTTGAGTCTGTGCTGACTGACTGGTGTTATGAAGAGGGCGCGCCGTCTTTTTCTTTTCGGAGGTGGACGGGGAACTTTTGGAGAGGATCGCGGATTTGAACTGACGCCTTCATTGGGGGAGGGATTGGCTTCGGCCCGGGCTTGGCGGGCTGGTGGTGGCTGGCCGAGGCGGAGCCGCGGGGATTTAACTATTGTTTACCCTATACTCCGTATACTGGTTTTTATTGCTTGACGCTTTTATATGCGGTTGTCTTGATGGTTTTTTCGTAGATTAAGTGCAGTAGATTGTGCTATTGATGTGCATTAGCATCAGGTTGGACTCTCTTGAAATTGTAGTAGTATCAGTTACTAAATATATATTTCTTACTAGTATACTACTACTAGTGGTTGCTCGCTTTCAACATGAACTTCACCATGACAGTAGTAGTTTGCAAGACTGTTTCACCTATATGCTTTTCGTTTACTCCCCCATCGCCTTGCATGTAAGATCTTCTATACTATCTCCAACTACCTCCCAACACTTCACTATATGCCTTAAACTACAGCATCACGCGATGGTTATATACTCTGCTAGAAAGTCTTAGGCTATAAGGAAGAGAATATAATGATAGCATTTATCAGCAGTATCTATACCTGTTCCACTGTCGTGGTTACGACTATGCGCTGCTGGCTTTCGTTATCGCAACTCTCAAGATTCAGCTTACCCTTGCCCTTGAAGTTATGGGCCCAGTGACTCCGTTCGCTGAGCTGGTATCCGCTATGACCAGGGCCGTTTCTCCAATCTCGACTCGTATCGGTGCTCTTTTTGCTGCTGTTCCGCCCCGGAATGCTTCTGAGCAGCACGCGCAACGAAGGCAAAGAGCCGGTGATTAGGCCGAGCGCATATTCGACGTTCATCAATATGAGTGGAACAGCACCGACGTCTAGGATGTGCTGTTAGTGAAATTAATTTATATAAACGGAGAAAAGAGAGGAAATACATGTATAGTCAGTCGAGTTGACTTGAAAATCCAATAGCGGAATGCGTGCCAGCCCGGCACTGCATGCCACGAATCTTTCAATCATCAGTCTAGGAGGTTTAGGGAAAGGAAAGCGACAAGTATGCAAACATACCCAGACAAAATAGACCAATAATGAATAAACGACGCTGAATTGGCATTTGAAGCTTCCAGATAGTCGGCATCGGAAGAGTGATAATGCTCACATCGAATAGTAACATCAGTATCGCCTGATATAGCTGGAGGTTCTCTAACACGGCATTTGAAAAGCACTTCGAGTGGGGAATGGTCGAGTCCCACGCTGCCTGCACTGGCCAGCACTGGAAGATCAAGGGTAGTTCCCCTGAAATCGTCACGATGGCCATGAGCACCATGATTCCCAGACCAATCCGCCGGATCCATTTGGTTGGGAAAACCCGCATGATAAAAACAGTAAGGCTACATTTGACAGCCAAGGCCACCCAGAGATATAGGCAGAACAAGATATATACGTACTGAAACGGTAAGTCAGCAGATACTTATAGAAGGACAGAAAAGGCACTAACCTTCTCCATCATGATCATATCTGCAGTAGGAACAGTATCCTGATGGTAGCCAATCCCGTACGTCGTAAGGATGATGGAGAGGGCCGCGAATACAAGGACCATGGACTGCTCAGGGCGGTTAAGAGCGGGTTCATCTCCATTCTCCGTAGAAAATAGTACATACCAAGGCAAGAAGAACAAGACAGTCATCCAGACCGAGAGCGTGCATGATAAATCCTCGAAGATAGAGCTAGGGAGACGCAGGTCAATCAGCCCGTGTATGCTGCCATTGTGGAAATGTAAACATACTCGAAGACAGCAAACCATCAGAGTGAGAAGACCGAATGCGCCAATCACTCCCCTCACTGTGTACACCATTGGAGGTGCCGGATCAGGAAGATGCATCGGAGAGCCATTTGTACCGGTCATTTTCTTGTCAGCCGCTATGGTGACTTCATTGGCCTTGGTTTTACTTCCTCATTCGGAGCTGATTTGAACGAGTATAGAAACAGTAAAGACGCATCCGCAAGCAAACAACCTGACAATAGCCCCCTGGCCGGCGTCCCTGTCAAGTTAAATCCAGACATCGCGACGATCCATTTACTGAAATAATGAAGTGCGTGTACTTGCAGGGATCCGTCCCCCATGCGGCCGACTGCAGGGTAGATGTCCTGTTAAAAGACATAATAGAAATGAAATTAATCTATTGAACAGGGAAGCCAATCCTGAAAGTGACCAAGTGGGCCGGTGCTGTGCCACTTTGTTGTTTGAGGCGAACGTGAACCATCATTCGATTCGGGACTGTCATAGTGGCCCACTTGGCGCATGAACCGGGGAGTGACCGTTGATCGCGGAGGCTGCCACGGCCAAGATGGTGTCAATGCCTCGCTTATTGACATAAAGATCATAAGAGATATGTTACACAGTAAAGGTCAGCCGTCGATGATCATAATCAAGGCGTAATGCTGCGAGAATGGCTCTCGGACTTTGTCATGAACCCACATCAGCCGGCTCAGCCCTGACTGGCTCGAATCTGATGGCATCTTGCACCTTATTGGGAGGCGCAATCTATGTATGTGGCGGCGTCAGACTAACAACAACCCCGGTTACACCGTTTCTTTGTTAGCTGGTCTATTAATTTCGGAGTTGAACGGCCGTAGTGGGCTGCTTTAAAGGGCATTCAGGAGGGATGGGACGACCGCAACCTGTCAAGGACATGGTTTGCATCAAAGATTTTGTCTGAACGGCGAGAATCATCACCTCGTTGACCAACACCAAACTCCGTGACTGTATTATTCCACTTGATTTATCCTCATATCAATCTTCCAGCATGTCGGATAGCCCTGGTCTGCTGGCTTTAAGCCCACTTGACCACATCCCGGCGAAGCTCTTCCTGCCGTATATCCTGTACTTCGACACGACCGACACGCAAACAGCCCTCTCCACCCTCCAGAAAGGGATTGACAAGTTGATTTCAGAATTGCCCTGGCTCGCCGGAGATGTAGTTCTCTACAGTGTGCCAAACGGGCCCAAGAACCGAATGCATATTGCGCCCCCATGTGTCCCTCTTTCTGATGTCCCTATGCTGAAGATCAAGCACTTTGACGGCGATGCAGACTCTCATTCTCACCCGATTCAGTCCTATCTCCCTCTGCCCACATTTATTCCAGCCTCCCAACAGCGTCCTGTTCTTCGCTTTCAAGCAAATGTCTTTCATAGCAGGATCATTGTGGCCATGTCCTTCTGGCACAGCGTCTTTGATGGTACCGGGGCCGGTGTGATCCTGGAAGCAGTCGCCGAGTGCTGCAAGTCAACGAACAAAGAAATCACAACCAGCCTCGTGCAGACTATCGCGGAGACCCATGCTGACCTCCGGAAGGAAGTCGCAAACTTTCCATCTAAATGTGTGAAGCGCCTCGACCACAGCATTGAGCTGGGAACGCCTGTTTTTGATCCCAACATTTCCACTGAGCAATGGAATGCAATGGAATCTGCTTTGTCCTCTATTGTCGAGACGAAGAGATACACCTTCAGACCCGATAAAGTAGCCAAGGTGAAAGACATCTGTACTCAACTCATGCCGCAGTTGCGGTCCACGGAGTGGATCTCTAGCAACGATGTTATTACCGCAATACTGGCCATCTGTGTCGACCGAGCCCTTCACCCGGAGCGAGCAGACAGAACCCAAAGCGCTGATTTTCTGATGGCCGTTGATTTGCGAAGCCGAGTTGATCCTCCGCTACCAGAGACCTACCTGGGGAACGCGATTTTCCCTGTCCATGACGATATCTATCCTGAGGAGATGGCAGGCCAGACAGGAAATGATGCAGATCTTCTACATCTAGCCCAGTTGGCACTGCGTATCCGCATGAAGCTTACATCCATGGACAAGACTCTCATGTATAGCGCATCAGCCGCCGTCGCCGACTATGAAGATTGGACCAAGGTCGAAGCAGGACCCGCGGGGATCATTGTAACCAGCTGGAGAGGTCTCAAGGTCTTTTCGCTAGACTTTGGCGCTGGACTGGGCCACATTGTAGACTTCGAGCCCGGGCTCACGCTTGTCCCTGGTGGGTGTATCTTTTTGCCGTCACGGACGTCCCTGGAGAAAAGTGGGTCGACTCCAATGTGGGAAGTATGCATCACCCTGAAAGCTGGGGATTCCCAATTGCTCGAGAAGGATCCACTCTTCAACCGGATTTTGGCATGATAATGGCTGGTGAAATGTGGTATATGGCTGTCTGGACTGTACTACGTGACAGTATTGACTGAATTTCTCTTTGACTCTACTAGCATTGTCTCTGAATTGAGGATGACAGGTACAAGGCACTTTAGACAGTATTAGCAGTGCTGCTTTGTATATCCACATGCTGCTAAGTTTATCTTATACTGGACCCAAGGGTGTGCTCGAGGCCATCTTAGTGCCGGCCGATCATCAATAGATCTAGGGTAGAATCCCTGACACCTGCATAATGAGCGTTTATACTAAGAATGCACCGGAGTCAGATGCTTTTATCAACGGCCAATAAGACACATTAATTTTGAGCTCTTCCTGGATGAGAATGATGGTCCAATGGAAAGGATGTCAATAGATATGGAATGAGGATGGGGGACAGACAGGATAAGGGAAATGACGGTGGATGCCGCGAGACAGACTCACGTGATCATTGTGTCAAGCGCCGGCCAGATTCCTGCTTCGGCTTCCGTCCATCCATTCATTCAGCTTGACTTCTTCCACCATCAACAACTACCATTATCCTCCTCCTTTCCTCCTCCTCCCTCGGGATTCTCGGTTGGTTTTTCTTACCTACATTACCTCATTGTTTCCGCCCGAGTCATCGTTGTTTTCTTCTCATATCTACCAATCACCGGTACTCACCTTTACGCTGTATGCGCCGCGTCGGCAGATTATCTAGTCGCATTCTAAGCCCGGTGCTTGCACCGTGAATTTCCCCTTCCCCTGCGTAGACAAACCCAACCAGTTCCCCTTTTGCTTTACAAATCCGATCTTTCA